TTTCGATTTCTGGACGCCATGATCTTGCCGTATTATTGCACTAACGAAAATCTACAGAGCTGTGGTCTTAAAAAAAACCTAATAATTTCACAAATTGAAACGACTTACCTTTTTGTAAAAAATGGTGAGATTAAACAATTTTCAGTCGTGCCTAATCAATATCCAAATAATAAGAATATCTAAGTTTACATGTTCACAGTGAAAGATGGACGGCAGGTCAACCATTAGATAAGATACGGCATAAAATGAAATTGAAGCCTTCATATTAGACCGAGGCTAGGGACATATACCCAATGGCGTCGCGTCCACATGTGCAACCTGTGCACGACACAAGTGTAAATAATTAAAAAAAAGCGTTTAGATTTTTATAGATTTTATGGTTACATTATAGCTGTACTTCTTCACTCCAGACCACAAGTGACTACGAATACACTATTTTATAGTGTGGCTCAATTAAATCTTCGACCTTCGATTGCTTCGAAAAATCAAAAAAAAATCAAGGATTAAATTCAGTTCGGATGGTCTGCCTAATTCCTAATGCATTGATTTCTAAGCATGTCGTTATCACTATCATGACAAAACTCGTTAAATAGTGCACCTAAAAGCGAGCTTTTTCGGGTGGCGGGTGGCAAGTTTGTGAATGGTCAAATGCCTGATGTAAGCCAAGCAGACCTTCTATCAACTCTTGAAACATACCACAAATTTTCCACAGTACATGGCAGTTTGCACCACTAGTTGTAATTGAAACTTTCAGCAGTCACGCGTCAAACGGGAGCAACACGGAAACAGCAGTTTGGTACGCTTTGGACGTGTATCATATTTGCAGACTGGTATGAATGTGTGAGTTTAAATTAGAAGAACGTTTGTGATGTATGGGTGCCTAAAGCGTGCATTTCTCGCTGTGCACTTGGATATCGGAATATCTCATTGCAGGCAAAGAGAGTAATGGAGAAAGAGAGCCCAAAAGCTCGTTCTCACTCTCTTGTTAGTTATAAATTTCTCAATTACCGATGGTTGCACCGGTGCGCCTGTCAAAACTTATGAGCTTCCCTGGTTCATTCTGATAGTGTTGTTATGATTAATAAAGAGTTGATTATTAATTCAATAATCAAGTTTGCTACCCCCCCCCCCCCCCTGTTTGCAAATTTTCTCTATATCTTGACACTGTTTTGTATCAACAAATGTTTTCGGAAGTGTTTGACGGATATTCTTTATTACACTTCAGTCGAAAGAGTTAGCCGAAAACGAGAATTAGTTAAGTTTTGCAATTCCTCCTACTTTGGTTAGCGCGAAAAGGACCATACTAGTTTTTTTTACACAAGATGATTGGCCCTTCAAATGTTACGTTAGGTAGTGATTAATATAGGTAATTGAGAAAATGTCCCTCGAATTCATGGAGCATTGGAAAAAAACAAAAACTAATATGTGGTGGTAAACTATAACGAACAAAGTTTGGTGCACAGGTAAACAAATAAGGCACGCGACGCCTCTGCATATACCCTACTAAAATTGTACCAAAAGCTCTTGTTTTATGATTTTTGTCAATTTTCAACTATCCGTGGTTTTAAATATTCCAAAAGATTGCATTTTTCATGTGCTTTTTTTTATAAAATTTTTTTTGAAGGTATGCTGTTTGAGATATTTCAGTTTTTATAACTATTTTGGATTTTTTTTTTATTTATTGGGTATCAAGCTGGAGCTGCGTGACAGCTTACTTTTCAAGACTTGACCCATTTGAATAAATTTTGCTTCTATCTTTGACAATACAGCAGAAGGACTAGCCTATGTTGGCCACTTGAACACTGGATTCCGTGTGTATTGTTTCAAGATAGTTATAGAAAAAATGCTGTGACGTATGCGCGTAGATATATCCGCGTAGTAAACCGATTGAATAAGTAAATCCGTTTCAAACGAAATATCTTAATTATGTAAGTTACGAAAACCGCGCGAATTCCGAAAGCCGTGCCCGGATTCCCGGTTTTTTCCGGTTTTCCCGGTTAAAATCTTTAAAAAATCCTGGTTGTTAATATTCAACAACAAAACGAAATTGAACCTCGAATTGGACGCATTTTTAAGAACGTGCTGAAAGGAATTTACTGAAAGGATAAAAAATATGATTTTACAAGAAGATTCACAAGATTCTGGGGCTTTAAAATTTGTGAGAATCTGAAACTAGAACTTTCGTCAAAATGTGTGATTAATAAAAATCTTTGTGATGCAAGATTTGGAGAAAAAATAATTAAAATGTGAGATCTTGAAAAATTTTCAAGATCACACATTTGAAAAAAAACATACTTATAGTCGTGGAGTCATAATTGTCACGCTCTGATACTTGGAAGCATTTTAAGGGTTGTAACAAATTACAGAACAATGTATAGGATCTAGCGGACAAACCCTGGAATTTTTAGTAAAATTTAAAAGAATTCAAAGTGTTGGTTTCAAACAAATATTGAGAAGGATTTCCACACAGTTTTCGAAAGAGAAGTTCTGAGCAGAATTCCAAAATTATTCTGACATGAAATCCTTAGAAATTGTCAGATGAATTTAGAGGGATTTCTGTGGAGAAGAATGCAAGTTCTAAATTAAATTGTTAGGTAATTTTAGAAGATTTAAAAAGGAGTTGTGAAAAACAAAACTTTATGGAAAATTCTTACGTGATTCTGATAAGATTTGTATGGGGATCATCGGAGATGAACTAGCCTATGGCTAAAAATCTCCTAAATAAAGAAGAAGAAAAAAGTATGGGGAGGAAAATGACAGATGAATTTGAAGAAGAATTCCAAGAGAATTATGATCAGAATTTAACAAGCAACAGAGTCCTAAGAGTGTTCTGGCAATAATTACAACCCTAGTGTGAAAGATTCATCACAGAACTCCAACAAAATTGATTGCAAAAAATTTGCTGATAATTAGGAAGAAATTCTTTAAAATACTCCAAGGGGTTTCTTAATAACATTTCGAAAGATTTCTGCTGTTTTGAATATAGTTAAAAGAAATTTTTGAAAAGATTTTCAAAGGAATCAAAGTCTCCGGATAGGCTCAAGGGAATTCTAAGAAGGATTCCAATTAAATTCTTAGAAAGGGTTGCAAGGAAATTCCAAAAAGAATTCAACGGTAATTATTACGCAGAGTGTTTTCTGGTTTATTTCAGAACAATTTCAAGATAATTCAGAGCAGAATTGCAAGTTAATTCTGGAATTCATATCATGAGAATTTTGAACAACGTAAAATTAAAACCCCGGAAAAGTTTAATTCAGTTTCGGTTTTTACAAATATTCGTTTTCAAAGTCCAGCATCTTCAATATTTTCTTTCAAGGACCATGCATTTTACATCTGAAATTGAAACGACAAAAATCAATTTGCAATAATGCTGAGTGATTAAATTCTAAAAAACAATAAGACTGGAAACTGAAGAAAATTATGCAGCAAATAGTGCAAGACATTCATTTGGTAAAGGATCACTTCTGTTTTAATGGTTTATTCTGAAATTCTGGTGTAAAAATTTGTTCCTATGGTATGGTTATTTTATTTTTCCCGGTTCTCTCGCCGGATTCCCGGATTTTTCCCGGTTACTTTTCAAATTCCCGGATATTTCCCGGTTTGCTGGCCACCCTGCTAAATTCATCTAACAGAAATGTTGTTGTAATTATTATCATGAGAACATCGTCATTGAGCTCTCCAAGCAGAATCTCACTAACACTAATGCAGCGTGTGAATTCATAGGTTTTCGACAGTTCTCACAGCAATACATATGCAAGTTTTATGCAATACATATGCATCTGAAGAAAACTATTGAAAAATGATACGAAAGCTCACGATAAGAAGTTTCGCCTCGGGCCAAAACTTAACAATCTATTCAATCGGGATGTAATCAATCCATATTTAGTATTCATGGGGTTGGGGATATGTTTGTATAAGTTTCTGAAAATTTCCAGTGGTTCCCGTATAAAATTCTGTTAGTTGAAACCTCGAAAAACTCAATACCGATTACACAAGCTTTCCCGCAAACAGATTATAAATAAGATAAATTGACCCAATAACAAAATTATTTCAAAGCGAATCCAATTTGCTAACAAATGGACTTTCCATATCTGAACTCTGCCATCGATCGTACAACAAGTTACTGCTGTTTTGGCGACGTTTGGCGAGTATCAATCCACCCGATTCAAAGCCTACGTACAAGCGTCCATTTCGCGCGAAGCCTCGTTTCTGGCAGTAATCAAAACAAATAATAAATATAAACCACAGTCCAAGACAGCTAAGTGGTGCAATATCCGTGCGAGCGACGTCACCCACGCTGCAGACTGATCTTGAATAATACATACATGCATAGACGAACGCATGCAACAATCGCAAATCCAATCTTGCGATTGAGCTGACCAGGGGATGGCTATAAATTATTTATTTTGAATTGAAAGAGAAATTCGGAAACGGCGGGTGAACGTTTAACAGAAAAGGAAACCCGAAATCCGGTATGTTACAATCACTCTACTAGCTAGGGTTGCTCATCGTTGGACTTGGAAATTAAGCTTTTTCTAGATTCATGTTCGATGCTCGCGAAGCTTTTGTATAGGTGCAATACTTTATACCTATTAAAACAAGTGTGCCTCGATCAACTGACAAAAGTCGCTCAATAACCCTAACAATACCTACCAAGCGCACGGTAAGGCAGAAATGGGTGCGGAGGCGGCCTTTATGTTTAACGGGTTTTGATTGGAGGGAGCTCGGATCGAGGTTTGGACGCATTGGTGTTTTTTAACTGACCTGTCATCCGATCCATACACACAAGGTGGTGATCATCGGGTTGGAAAAAATGCACTTGGCATGATTACGCGTGGCGCTTGAGTGAGATAATAAATTACAATTACTAATTTTGTTGTGCTGAGTTGAGCTCGCCAGGGACCTTCCCTTGTGCCAATATTGTTAGCCAACTGGACAATAATTGAATAATGACTGTTGCGGGTTGCGCAATGATATTAACAAATTTTACTTACTTTTAAACTGCGAGTTTTCTTATGTAAAATAGTATCTCTTCAAATGAAATGCTCCAACAGTCCAGGAAATCCACAGCTCACTATAATCCTCCAAATCAGTCGAGATTCTGTAACACTTTACCGTACTGACCCCACCTTCTCGGTTAACACAACACCCGACAATCACTTTCCACTCACTTACTGGAAACTAGCAGTGACCGATCTGGCTCAACTTGGTCCACCCACGACCCAATACTAATCGACACTTTCAACACTACTCGTTCTCTCGATTCTGGTTCAACAATGAAGTTTACTTCTATTACTCGCAAGGCTGTTCGACACACTCCTAGAACTGTGACCACTGCTTTACTTCTTCTTTCAATCCACCCAGAACCACTTCTACTCCTGTCTCGTCCCCCCTACTTTTCGTTAAATTTCCACGTCTGGCGACACATCGGGCACTGCTGGTTGGCCTGCGAGTTGAGCCACTTGACGATGCAGTGCATGTGGAAGCAATGCGAACAGGATCCCCACACTAACGGACAGTCGTCACCTGGTAGAGAGCAATCCGGGCAGCAGCCCTCGAAGGCCATCCGACAAATACCACAGTTGTCATCGTTGGCGAGCCATTTCCACACGGCGACTCCCATCCAACCTGAATATGAAAAAAAATATACAAATCCACCATTATTCCACCAATTTTCAATCAAGTTTCTTACAATTCTGTATAAAACTACCTTTCAGACCCACATTTTAACACTTTTCACATGAAGCAAATACTGCTTTTAGCCCTAAATTCGCCGAATGGTCCACGGGTGAACGAACGGAACTTTGGCAGCTCTCACAGGCCAACAAGAACACTCTTCCCCAAAGGTGACAGCAAATAGAGCAAAAATCAATACATGAGGCAGGAGACACATTCGCTCCTTCTCACTCTGGCTTATTGCATGCTTGACCCCCTTTTCCCTTCAGGTTCTGGCTGACCTTTTCCATCACCGTGAGATCAGTTTTCCGTCAAAGAAACTCTAACCCATCCTTCCCCTTCATCCATCATCCCATGATTGTCACCCACAAAAATGCGCGGATCGAGGAAGCAAGCGGAACCAAAACAACGCTTTTTTTTACCCTGCACGGCAAGGAACGAACGGACAGCTATTTTTAGAATCCCTGTACTTACTTTTCACGGTAACTTTCATTCTAGATGTTTTTCACACTCGCGATACATCGAACACGGAGCAACCAATCGACGTGGGATCAGAACTGATACAATTTCGACCTACTGGAATAATTTCCGCGAAATTCTGCCGATTTTTTGAAAAACCACGCACCACGGAAGCCGAAATCACCGAGCCAGACGGATTTTTTTATTGTTTTGGAGTCCACCGCGAAAGGCTAACCGTATTTTTGTTTGCACAAACACATAAGGCAGCGGGATTGTCAAAATCAAGTGGCTGCGTACTGCAACAGTACACTCAAAACTCAAATTAAGTCAATAGTTCTCGCGTCATTTTTCAATAGGTCCTATCCACATTGATGGATTCATTCTATCGTTACACGGATAGAAATCTCCTTATACCTTTTGGCAAATTTCTATTGCTGGTTATTCATAAAATGTATAAGTCAACTAATAAGCAGACGCCTTGCAAAAAGTTAATGAAGATCATGTGTCTAATGAAATGTATAAGCGGTCGCACATACCCTTTATGTACATATTCTTAAATGACCTTTGTGATTTGTCTTATGGAGTATATAAGGCTGATGTTTTGGCAAATATGTATAAGTGAAACACATGCATTTAATAACTGATTTTCGTTTCGTGTAATAACTTGGCTGCATAGGATATCATCCAAATCATTTGTGGAATAGTTTTATCATTTATGTTAGTGTTCGGGTATGGTATTTTTTTATTAGAACTGTTCGGGCTGAACCCGTTGTCCAGGTCGTGGTCCCACTGGAAACATCTGGAATCCTCATCGGAATCGCCTGGATTATCCAGTTGAAGCATCCGAATACCAGTTAAAATGTTACGGTTTGGATTTGACAGCATCAAGATTGTCGTCAATCAAGGTGGAAGCTTTTTGTTTTAACGATTTTTTTTTTCCTTTTGTTTGTTTTTTTCCGTCGATCTTGTTTTCCGTCCTGAGCACCAATGCTACCGACGTGCCAGGAAGGCAGCTCCCACACTTGGACCCTACCTATCGACCAATCAACTCATGAACCGGGGACCAACGGCTTTATACCCCGTTCACATTACAGTGTATATCACGTGATATACGCTGTCTTGCAATGAGCACTCATACATCTAGTTTTCACTGGAAATCCTATGTATGAGTGCTCAATGCAAGACAGCCTATATTACGTGATATAGACTGTAATGTGAACGGGGTATTACTTCCCATCCGAAGGAAGGCGTGATCAGAGATGTTATGCCTCAGAACATCCCGGCAGCGCCGACTGGGATTGAACCCAGGCCTGCTGGGGTGAGAGGTAATCACGCTTACCACTACACCACCGGCGCCGTTAGTTTGTTTTAACGATGATTTTGCATTGATTGCCAACAAAATCTCGATGAACAATTCAAAAGGTCCTATCTGCTTTGGTCGATTCTCTTCATCACCTTTCTCACGCAAACACATTTCGTTCTATTTTTGCTACACAGTTTTATACCAGAAGTTATTAGCTTGAGCTTAGAACGTTGAACACCCGAAAAAAAATATCAACAAAAATACAATAAAAAACAATGTAACAATAAGACGAAAATTATTGTCTTAACAATGATTTATATTGTTACGTCTACAATAAATTTACCTTGATTTATGTTGTACAAAACAGTAAATTTCATGGTAAATGGAAAATTTACAATAAAAAAGGGGGGTTGTTAAGTATCTTAACAATGAAATTTTCGTGATTTCCCCATATAATTTTTTTTCAATAACATTATATATTATTGTTATTTTACTGTTGGTTGGCGAATTTATTGATTAAAAAAAATAACAGTGTACTTTAGAGTGTATGTGTTGGCTTGACAGATCTACTTTATCGACTTTAAAAATAAATCGAAAAAATAAAACATCGCTCCGGGGTGGTAATGTCTGTTACGGGTGAGTCCTTTTTTTACTGGTTATGGATTGAGATTCGATCCGAAACTTGTGAGAAATGGAAGCCAACTCCCCTGCACTCGATCTCTCTAGGTCACGTCTCCTTGGTGGTTGAGCGTCGTTGATAAGTTAATGCATTCAACTGGAGAGAATCGCCCATGAAAATATGCTTCCACCTGAGAGTTAATTCCTGACATCTTCAAGTGGTGGATTTTTTTATTATTATTGTATGATTATTGACTGTACGGAAAAGGTCTGCATTAAGCGGGATTTAGATGAGGCAGGAGAGTTGAGTTCAACTCAAACCGATCTGGTCGTAGGCGTTCAATTGACTTGGCAACGAATAGAGCCAAACGAACTGTCAAAGCAAGAGCCATACGAGCAGCGCCTATCTTGATTACATTGGCAGTGTAGACCCTCTCATAGTCTGCATGCTTCAATCAGATTTATTTTTATTGTTCGTGAAGTAACCCACAATGAAAACACACCAATATTTAATGTAACAACATTTTTTATTGTAATAGAATTGTTCATTATTGTTCGTGATCGAATCATGTTAACAATAAAATAAATGAAAAATACAATAAAAATCATTGTAACAACATTTTATTATGTACATTCATTGTACAGCTAGGTAGCAGTTTTGCCGTTTTCAGTAGGGTTCAACAATATTACAATCATTTTTATTGTCGACAATAAATATTAATGTTAGAGCATTGTTTCCACTGAAAATTTCACTGTAATTTTTTTTTCGGGCACAGCAGCGTTGCTTTTGAAGTTGAGTTATTAACTAAAGAGAAAGTTGATGAAAAGAATCGATCAGTGCAGATATGGCCTTTTGAGCCATTTAAGTAACATTAACAGATTCTCTTCACTATTTTAGCACACATGTCGATGAAAGAAGCTATTGTTGCGCTTATGTTAAATTCTCATTTGGTGACGCTCTAAGCGCGCTGCAACCATCGACGAACCGACATGCCACTGGAGCATTTCGTTTGTCTGCAATTCGATTTGTCAAATGAGCGATTGGATATGTCAAACGATCGATCAGATCTGTCAAATGAGGTGAGACGCAAACTAAGTCAATGTCAATTTTATATGTTTTCATATCCTTGCTCATGATATGTCGCGATCGAAGTAGATGGCGGTATTGTTTAACGTATTTTAAATATAGCGTCTTGGGCAAGGTTTTCAAAGTTGCTCCTATTAGCTGTCACGTCGGTTCGTCAGTGCTGCAACCCCGCCCATAAGAATTATACACAGGTGTATAACTTATAGCGAATTCGTTTATTATCGGGGTTAACACCAGTTCCAACCCAGTGCGAAACCGAACTTTTTGTCAGTGTGAACCTCAACCTGAGCTAGGTTTTAAAAACAAACGAGCAAACTGACGTTTGTCAGAAAACAAGCAGACCCAATCTTGATACCCGATTCAGGTTGGAACTGAATAATAAACGAATTCGCTATTAGATAGTATTTTATGGCAGTGGCTTGAGGAGCGAATCCTGGATAAAGAGCCACCGTGTGTTAAATCAATGGGCGCAGTCGTACCATAGAGGTAACTCTAAGACTAGAAGGTCCCGAAATAACGTGCTCACCTTTTTGGCTCAGCTCTGGTACTCTCTTCGGTCCCAAGCTAATCGATTCACCCCTCGAAACATAGGAAAAATCAATAACCCCTCATTTTATCTGTCAAACTTTCATAGCGAATCAAAACAAACATTGTGTAGAACTAGAATTTCGACTAGAATGGGGTACGTTCATCGTTTGCTTGGGACCAATAGGCTAGTCAAGTAGTGAGCCAATTTAAAATCGTTAGTTTCGTGTCGTACGGCCATAAACAGAAAACAGATGGTATAATCACAGACAAACAGACGTAACACTTCATTGTGTATCTTCGTTCACGCATTTAACCAGTTGATTTGAATATTATCAGTTCCGCGAACTACTCGCCGCAGCGCTGGCATCGGATCACTTTGACGTTTCTATATATTCTATAAAACTTGTATGCAATATTGTTTGCGAGTTAGCGAGCAAGCTTAGTTTTCCGCGAGAAGCCCCAGAGATGTCGTTACTGAGGTCGTATGTTTTGAGATACTATGTTTTCAAGAAAAACTTTTTTTTAACGGCGCCGGTGGTGTAGTGGTAAGCGTGATTACCTCTCACCCCATCAGGCCTGGGTTCAATCCCAGTCGGCGCCGCCGGGATGTTCATCTCTGATCACGCCTTCCTTCGGATGGGAAGTAAAGCCGTTGGTCCCCGGTTCATGAGTTGATGGGTCGATAGGTAGGGTCCAGGTGTGGAAGCTGCCTTCCTGGCACGTCGGTAGCATTGGTGCTCAGCACGGAAAACAAGATCGACGGAAAAAACTAACCAAAGGAAAAAAAAAAGAGAAAAACTTTTTCAAAGAGTTACGTCTGTTTGTCTGTGGTATAATGCCATTTTGAGAAATTATCCTGCCACACACAATATTATCTAGCTTCTAATACAACAAATACACTGAAACAAGTACCATAGTTAGGAATACTATTTTGCAGAAAACACTTATTTTTATTACAACCACGCTTATAACCGTTAAATCTACTATGATTTCAGTATAGTTGACCATGAATGTTAACAAATTTATTGTGATCCTGGAAAAACTACGATGTTTGCTCAAAATGCATAGTAATTTTGATAGAAATAATAGTTAAATTATATTAAAGTGTTTTCTGCAAAAATCTATTGGTGAGGGTATTTAATTTAAACCATCAATATAGTATGTTTTCCAATGGAATTTGTTTCAGTGTATGACAAGAACCAGTTCTGTACCAAAGTTATTAATGAAAGAGAAAGTCAATTGATCATTTTGTCAAGCTTCTGCATTCATGTTCCATCAGATGTCACAGCTGTTGTTTACGGTGACATCTATCGAAAACTAGGCACAATCTGTTTTCATATAATTGTTCACAGAGGACACTGCAGTGCAAACCATTTCTTATGTTCGAAAATCCCCGTGCTGTCGATCGACCGGTTTTCGAGCCACGGTCATCAAAATTTAACTTTTTGTCTGTCAGAAATAACCATGCTCGGATAGCAGGGTTAATCGATAACTTTCCATCTGTCAAATTTTAACCAAAAGTTAAAATAATCCACCAAATGGTTCAGAGCCTTAGATTATTGTTCGAAGTCCCTCCTTTTTTACACATTCTGCACACAAAATAGCTCACCCCTCACAGAATTTCCCGCCGAATTTTATGTATGGGGCGGGGCATAAAGTATCTTTTGCGCAGAATATGTAAAAAAGGAGGGACTTCAAATGTTAAAGCAAATGCATATATAGATGTACCAGACATGTTTTGTAGTGTCAGGTACTCTATTTTGTAATCTGTGAAAGGGAAATCACAAATCGAGTGTCAACAAAATACATGGCATGTTGAGAGATTGAGCTCGTGAGAGAGAATTTCTCTCTCAAATTTGATTTTTTTTGGCTCTCTGGGGACTGGTAGTAAAGCAGGTAAAATTGTATGGGGAAAAATCATTTTTATTTAATTGTAGCTTGCTTAACAATAATTTCCGGGAAAAAACCGAACGACAAAGTCCCTGATTAATTTCTTTAGGTTGTCGTTCACTTTTTTTGACCTGAATATGCACCGAAAGCGAATTATTCCCACTTCTCTCAATTTCTATATGGGGATTTTTATCACTTCCTACCAGCGGAACAGCGCCATCTCTGTGGAAAATGGTCGAACAAAATGATTAATTAAGAGAATCGATCAATATTACTTAGGGCCTTATGCATTGTTCAGCTTGATTTAAATAATTAAATCTCGCGTCACTTTTCAAAAGGTCCTATGTAAACAAATCGAGTTAAGCGATACAAACTGTTGCTCTTCTATCATTGAATGCGATACGAAAACATCCATCCAATTTTACTTTCATTTATTTAAGATAATCATAGCTCAAAAATTGTCCAATGATCAGTTTGAAATGATGGGTACATGATTGATACTTCGGTCATTTGGACTGCTTACCATAATTGGTGCTCATTTTCTAAAGGCGGGGCCAATCTACAGTTAGGTACTATTTAAATCTATGAAAGGGAATCTAGTATCATATAGAACAAAACGTCCAATGTAACACTCTTTGATTATGTCATTGAGAAAAATCGTCCAATGTAACATGTCCGATGTACAACTTGGCTAGTCAAATTATCCTATGTGGTTTTTTTCTATATTGTAGCATCAAATTCAAAGTTAAATTGTGATATTACCGTTTCTACTGAATTTTCAATGTTATTATTCACTGACTACATCAAAAATAGTATTGCAAAATGTATTGCTAAAATAATAATCTGTCGAACTTCAACATAGATTTTCTCAAAATGGCGGATATGTTACATTGGTCTATTTCTAAGTGGAGACAAGTGGCTTCTAACTCTTTAATCTCTATCTCTATCTCTATCTAACGCACTCTAAATTGGCCAATCACGAGCTGGTTCGCGTTTTACAGAAAAGTGGTTCGTTTTCGCCCCCATATCTACTCTTCTCTTAGGTCTATTTGAAAAGTGACGCGAGAAATTTCAAAGTGGCTACTTCAACCACAGGGTCGACAGCAAGGGGGAAAATGTCGAGTAAACTGTCAAAGTCGTCAAAGTAGTGTAAAAAGGCCTTTTGTTTACCGTCGCCACTCCGTGCAAGCAACACCAAAACATTCCGCCAGTTTGTAGTTTGCCAGTTTTGCATATAGAATAATCAATTTGTTGTTCAGAATAATGTAGTTTTTGTGTGTTTTATTGGTAATCCGCTTTCTTTTAACATTAAAAAGAAGCGTTTTAGTGTTAATATTGTGGTTGTCAGAGTGCGAAAAGCATGGCTTCGAAGAGATTCGGAAACTTCCAGCTGAAACAGCCGTCCTCGGCTTACAAGAAGGCTCGCCTGGACATAGATATCATTCCCAGCCAGCAGTACATTCAACAGCAGGAACACCAGAGAACGGTGAAAACTACGACCACGATCGCTAAATCCTCTTCCTCGAAGTCAGACTATCTGTGGGGCGACGAGGATGATGAATTCATTATTTTGGCCTCACAAGCCGTGGAGGAAGTGGAAATGTTCCAACAAACACAGTTGCAACAGACTCAAGGCGGGGACGTCACATTCGGTGGTTTCCTCCGGGAGGGGGTAGCCTCAAGTACCCAAACGATTACGAATGGGCTGGAAGGGCCGAGTTCCAGTGAACTGATGCCTCCACCACCGGCGATTGCTGGTCCGGCTAAAGTCAATCCAGTCCCTTCAGATGTAATGGATCTGCTTACGGACGGAGATGATGACATTTTTAGCGAGCAGTTCGATGAGAACTACGATAACATAGAGAAACACATTGATGAGTTTTTCAACAACGAATTTGACGATGATTTTAATCTCGATGAATTCCGCCGGGATAATGAAAGAAGCGGTCCAAAAATGTCACAGGAACGATCCCCATCAAAGCCGATGGAAGCGAATGGGGAAACGAAAACGTCAATAACATTCAAACCGAAGCAACCGCAGCCCGTGGTCAATACGGTGATTCCGGAAAAGATTAACGGTGGAAGATTGTTTCCTAGCCAACAACCGCCGCTGCAAGTGGACAGGGAAGCACTCAAGAATGCTGCCAAGAAGAAAGATCACGCCAAAGATATGCAGGTCAAGTTTCTCACAGGTCAGCTGGAAAAAGCGAACAAAGAGAGAGAACTGTTGAAAAAGGATTACAACGAAGTTACGGATCGTATTCAAATCCGTGACGGAGAAGTTTCCATGTTACGCTATGAGCTGAAGAATGTCAAAAGCCAAAACGATCAACTGAGGCTGGAAAAGATGAAAGAGACCGAGACGATCAAAAAGGAATGGGTCGAAAAGATGAAAGACTTGGAAAAGGTGATTGTGGCACAGAAATCGGAACTCGAATTCAAAAACATGGAAATGATGAATTTGAAGACGAAACGACTGAGTAACTCTTTTAGGGTAGATAAAGATGGGCCTTCTAAGGAAAAAACGATGACGGAAAAAGACTTTAAAATCCATAATCGCCAAATTCAGCTGTTTCAACGATCGACGCTGGAAGACTTCCAGATCGATCCGAAAATATTCGACCTGTCCGCCGAAAGCATCTCCAAGTTTAACACCACCAACCGGTTATCCAATTTTTCCAAAGGAGATGCCGTTCTGTCGCAACATTTGGGACGCCTACAGTCGTACCTTTCGCAGCTGATTTGTCTAAAAGGTTCCCTTTCGGAGGAATCCATATCTACAATAGTGCTGATAGCCAATCAAGCTACCGACGAGATTAGGAAATACTGCAACCGATTGCCGATGGTGCGGGTGAAGGATGCGCACTTGGGTGCCAAAGTGGCTTATGATTTCCTGTGTAAAAATAGTAAAAGAAATCGATTGCAAGGACCAGTCAACACCTACCAGCGGGAGTCCATATTTCATCACGAAAAGGCCATCATCCAGAGAAGGTTCCTGGCTGCATTGGGGTTACTGTGTCGGTATTTACCTTCGTTTGCTGTGAGGCTGGTTCGCCGGTGGGAGGGAACGGGCAATTGTGTACAAGTTCTTGTTAAGGGTTTGGGTAAAATAAGCTATGCGGTAAGTGGAGGTTTTGGCTTTTTTCGAAGATGATTGGTTCACATGTTTTGAGTTTGATTTCCAGAGCGACCTGTATGGCCATTTTGGACTTATCGCTTCGGCGGCTTCGGTTTTGTGCGGACTTAGCTATCATGTATTGCTGTTCAAAGAAGAGTAAGTTGCCGCCGATGTTCAGGTAAAACATGCAATTTCTAAAAATTCTAAGCGAAACTTTTATTCCCCTAAAAGCGGCCGCCAAGTGATAGATCTCTTTAAATCGATCGTCTACTGCCGACCGGATAGTGCCTTAATTTTAAGTCACCTGTCGGAAACTCTCTACCGGATATCGTCCTCCGACCAGTCGATCGACCTTCTCAACCATCTATGCTGGCAGAGTAAATCGAAGGATTTTGCTGCAAACGATGCCTACAAGATGATTCAGTTTACTAAAGGTATGTAGCGGAAATAAGGTCTGTAGGTCGAATACCAAGAAACCGGTAATTTTCAGATTCCTGTGTGCTACAAATCTACGCATCGCTCCTGGAAACATCCGTTCCGCAAGACAGAATCCTCACGCCGATGGAAATTCGTCATCTGGTGGCAAACACCCGAAACACGATCTACTTCCTGCGGAATTCGCTAGCCCGGCCGGTTCGCTGGATACAGCAGTTCGCCAACCGACCAGAAGGATCGGTTCTATCTCTGTGTCAGTGTCACATTCGAATCACCAACGCCTTTGTGGTGCTGTTCCACCAGGTGCTCCGCTGTTGGATGCTCTCTCCTTTGAACATCGACTACAGCACAATGCTGCAGATTACCCAGAACGGTGTACTGCTGCTGTTCGATTTGTTCGAAACGGTTTACCGGGGGGAGGTACTGCTGGTGGGGCGACACGTGATTCAGTGTCGCCTGCAAGCCACCTACAACTGGTTGGTGCAGCACCAGAGCGACTTCCGGTTTCAGCATACGCACAGTAAGTTTCACGTTAGAGTTGGTTTACAGACCTTGCTAAGTGGTTTCAATTTGTCTTGCACAGAAATTGCTCTCCAACTGCTAGATCTGCGGCTAGTGATGGAAGAGCCTTTGAAATCGAGCGAAGAAGTGAGCCGGATGGACCTGGACGGGGATACAGCCGAGAGGGCCGAATTGGAGCGAAGTGATATGTACGATGATCTGTTTGAGGATTTTTTCACCAGTAAACTACAACACCAGTGATAGAAAAAAAGATGCGAGTTGGTGTGTAGGTACATATGACTGTTCTAAAATATGCCGAAATTCTTAAGGGGTGTGCAAAATGATGAGGATAGGAATTTTTAATATCTAGGGGAATTTACGTATTCTCGTCAATCTAAGCAGCGTCCGAACTTCTATTAGCGATTTCTCAGCGTCACACACATACATGACAGGTTTGTTTGTTGACATTTATCTGCTGCTTGATGTTCTACCAATTTCAATCGACAGAATTGATCAAAACGGGTTGAACATGGTTTTACAACGCTCCAAACTTCTTAGGTGAGAGTGACTATTGTCGGCAGTCTCTTTTTCTTCGGCAACCTTTCCATTTGAACTGCGTGTTAACCAGCTGTTCTATTATCGGCAACTCGAAATCAGCCGTATTTTGTAGTATGTTTATTTCATTTAAAGAAAAATATGGTATAACAGGAATTCACAGTCGTAAAAATGTAATCAGATTGAAGCTGAAAAGGTAAGGAATCGGCTTAATACATTCAGCGAAGAGTTTTGATGGGAAAATACAGTGAAATAAACGTTTAAATTTCGGTTGCCGAAAACAGTCAATGGGTGCCGAAGCCATAATTTACCCTATGCGGTGTAAAGTTTCGCCGCCTTAACCTGAAAATTTACTGACGTTCCTTAACTTTGAAATGCTGAATCTTGGTTGACAGACACTTTGATTTCTTAATGAGTTCTTCAGGAATTTGTATGAAAATGCAATTCTTTTCATTTGATATTTACCATTCAAACAATGAGCTGTTCTTCAAAGTGTTGGACCATTAAAATATCCTCCTTTAGGGCGAATGGGTCATTGGTCTTGGAAACAAAATTAAATGCAAGACTTGTTAAAGTATTCCGTGATCTTGAAAAAAAAAATTGAAGAAAAGGAATCTAGGAAATATTTCCAAAACTTTGAGATTTGTCCGGATTAGCAAGGGGATCATGGCTTCCGGCCCCTATGTATACAATTCAGGGGTCCTACAAATTAAAAACAAATATTAAAACAAACCGTAAGAGCTTCTCCACCGGGAGTTTCTAAACGAGTCCCTATCCCTATTTCCTATCCCCAGTTAGCAACTTATGTACACACCGGTAGTATCTAAACGGAAATGAAATATGGCTCTCGGCATGGAATAAAATGCTAGAGTTTTCAAATTTGGTGACTCACTAAAACCATAGAGGTAACTCTAAGACAAGTAGGTCCCGAAGAAACGTGCTCAACTTTTTGGCTCACCTCTGGTACTATCTTCGGTCCCAAGCTTGTCGAATCACCCCTCGAAACATAGGAAAAACCAATAACCCCTCATTTTATCTGTCAAACTTTCATAGCGAATCAAAACAAACATTGCGTAGTACTAGAATTTCGACTAGAATAGGGTACGTTAATCGTTTGCTTGGGACCAATAGGCTACTAAAGTGGTGAGCCAATTTAAAATCGTTAGTTTCGTATTGATTGTTGCTAAAACTCTGTTTCGGGTTGCTATTCTGCTTGAGTGTTAGCTGCTCCGATCAAAAGTCACTTTCTCGGATTACGTTTTGCAGTTCAGTTCTGTTAAACGTGTTTTGTTAGGATGAATTTGTGGGATGTTCCAAGGAAACTTGTGGGAAGTTCAATAGAAAGTTTTCTTAAGTTCCAAGAGAATTTGTGGAAAGTCCCAAGAGAACTTGTAGAAAGTTCCAAAGGAACTTGTGGGATGTTCTTAAGAAACTTATTGGAAGTTCTCAGGGAACTTTTTAGTAGTTCCATGCAGTTTTCGAGTTAACGGGATTTGGGAGAAGTTCATGAAACTTAAAAGATGCTCACGTAATTACGGTAAAGTTAATGAAATATTGAAAAAATTAACGCTAGCATTACTGTGATTCCGTGAACTTCTTTTAAGTTCCGTAAACTTTTCCTAAGTTCTATGAACATCTCCCAAATTCCGTTATCTCGGAAGTACCATAGACTAACAATAATGCCGCGGATACACTTGTATGACAAACTATGAACATGAGCATTATTCGTATAATAAATTATGAGCACATCCATGGTTACGCCACCGAAAAACCGACATGAATGACCATAGTAAAAACAATAAAACTTCTAACCAAAGCACACTACTGACATCTGGCTCCATGTTCACGCGAAATATTTAGCTAAGCCATGAACCCGCATGCAAAAGTTATGAATTGGTTCTATTGTCTGATCTATTCTGGACAAATTGTTTTTATCTTGATCAGTAAATCCTATGGTTTTGACAGTTCGGATTACTCCACATTTAAATCGGCCGTTTACGATTTTCGGGCATAAGTCAGAATTAAGTGTCATGTCGGTTTGTCGGTGGTTACACTTGTATAGTTTTGGTATAGCTGGTCCAAGTGTATCCGCGGCATAAGATTAGGGTCCCGAAGAAATATGTTCAATCTTTTGGCTCAGAAAGTTCCAGATCTTCGATCCCAAGCTGAAACGTAGGAAAATTGACGAATCCCTCATTGAACACTATCAAATTTATAAGGCGAATCAAAACAACTACTAGAATGGGGGTACGCTTATGTATTTAGAACCAATGGGCTAGTCAAATCCCGAGCGTCTGTTCACCATGGAGGTGCGGCTCAAAACGGCGTCTGTTCTCCATGTTAGGAGCGGTTGATCACCGTCCTAGTACCAGCGTGGGACTCTAAACAGAGCTGTGCACGATGGTCCCCCGGCGAGACATGTTGCAAATACTGAAATACTGAAGAAAGAAATACGGACCGGAACAATAGGCACAGACCTACGCAACGAAATAAGGACTACGATTGGAAACTCGGAACGTGGAACTGCAAATCGCAACTTCGAAGTCGTAGCACTGCAGGAACTTTGCTGGACGGGACAAAAGGTATGAAAAAGCAGGCATCGAGCGGCTACTTTCTACCAGAGCTGGGAACCAACGAGCTGATGTTCTTCGAGAAGCTAAATAGTTCGCGCAAAGCTACGTGCCGCAAGCCGATATGTGCAAGGACTTGGACGGTAACCTTCTCACGAACGAGTGTAAGGTAATTGAGAGTTGGAAGCAGTACTATCAACAATCAATACGAAATTAACGATTTTAAATTGGCTCACTACTTGACTAGCCTATTGGTCCCAAGCAAACGATTAACGTACCCCATTCTAGTCAAAAAAGATCAGCTATGGCAGATTATGCACGAGTACGGATTTCCGGATAAACTGACGCGATTGGTCATGGCGACGATGGATCGAGTGATGTGGGTCGTTTGAGTATCGGTTCACTCTCGAGTCCCTTTGAATCTCGAAGGGGGCTACGGCAAGGTGATGGACTTTCGTGTCTGCTATTCAACATCGCGATGTGATCAGAAGAGCCGGGATAGACACGAGTGGCACGATCTTCAGGAATTCCATCCAGCTTTTTGGCTTCGCCGATGACATTGACATCATGGCAGGGAACTTTGAGACGATGGCGGAAACGTACACACTTAAATTTTTCTAACGAGCTCGGCTGTGCAATTCTCGGCAAAAAAAGTTTTACTGAGATCTCAGCAAACATTTCATTTGTTTGCTGAGATTCAGCTAAGCATTATCCGATACTCAGCAATCAAATGTCACTTTTGCTGAGATCTCAGTGAAACTTTTTTTTGCCGAGAATTGCACAGCCGAGCTCGGTAGAAAAAACTAAGTGTGTACATCAGACTGAAGGCTGAAGCTAGGCGGATTGGACTTGCCATCAACGCATCAAAGACTAAATACATGAAAGGAAGAGGTTCTAAGGAAGATAATGTTTGCCTCCCCCGAGTTCAGACTGACGGTGACGAAATCGAGGTGTTCGATGAGTTCGTGTATTTGGGCTCACTGGTGAGTGGTGACTGCCGAAAATGATACCAGCAGAGAAATTCAAAGACGCATTATGGCAGGGAATCGTGCCTAGTTTGGATTCCGGAGGACGCTCCGGTCGAATAAAATTCGCCACCGCACGAAGTTGACTGTCTACAAGACGCTGATTAGACCGGTGGTCCTCTACGGCCACGAGACCTGGACTATGCTCGTGGAGGTGTTTTCGAACGGAAGGTGTTGCGTACCATCTACGGTGGAGTGCAGATGGGTGACGGAACGTGGAGAAGGCGAATGAATCACGAATTGCACCAGCTGCTGGGAAAACCATCCATCGTCCACATTGCAAAAATTGGGCGACTACGGTGGGCTGGGCACGTCGTAAGAATGCCGCATGACGACCCAGTGAAAATGGTTCTAGAAAGCGACCCAACAAGAAGAAGAGGCGCGCAGCGGGCAAGGTGGCGAAGTGTGGCCATGGATCGAGTAGAGTGGAGACGACCTGTTCGGAAAGTAGAGGACAACAAGGCCTTAGCCTGATTGGTAAGGTAAGTAAGGCTAGTCAAGTAATGAGCCAATTTAAAATCGTTAGTTTCGAATTGATTGTTGGAAGTACCAAGGAAACTTGCGAGCAATTCCAAGGTAAAAAAAGTTCCATGTACCTACTTCTAGCAATTTCCGTGATTTTTTCCTAAATTCCGTTAACTTTACCCATGTCTTGTGAACAATACCAAAATTCTGTGAACTCCTCCCAAGTTCCGTGAACTTCTTCGAAGTTTCATGTACGTTAGCGAAGTTTTTCAAATAAGTTCTGCAATCGTAACGCGGCCCACCCTTACATCTTTAATTTAGAAAAGACAATTCTCGATTACTTTTTCAAAAGGACTATGACATTTTCCCCTACCTGATAGTAGTGTTAGTATGCGTGAGTGAGCTACCAATTACGCCAAACCGACGATCAAATGCATGGTTTACAAAAGCTGATACGTCCCTTCAATAAAGTAATCGAGAATTGACACCGTCTGCAACTCGAGGTTGAACAGACTGAACATTTAACACTAGACAACTGGCAACACACAACATCAAGTAGGGCAGTTTCCCTTTATAAAAAGTTTCACCGGTTGGAGCGGGAATCGAACTCTCTCTTCGTAGCACACACAATACGCCGGGTGACGCCGCTAACCGCATGACCGCGATGCCCTGCAATTTAGGTGGTATTCTTATCAAGTTGGATAGTATGGTATTGTATAACTGATAGCAGTATCGTAGGTTCAGGATAAGGACAAGAAAATTAAGGTAGTCTGTAATGTTTCGAGAACTTTAAGTAAACTGTGACTCATTATTGGAAAGTGGCCAGAAATTTCGAGGGAATTTCTGGAATTTTTCTTAGGAACTTTCGGAAATTTTCGAGGAAACTTATGGATAGTTTTGGAGAGTACTTAAGGGAAATTCTGAGGGAACTTTAGGTATTTTCCAAGAGCTTCAAGGAAGTTCTGAGAGAACTTTATAGATCGTCCGGAAGAACTTTCATGATCATAATTCTTGAGCTTTTTGAGCAGTTAGTTAGCTTGTAGTTAGTCAGGTTGTAATGAAAAGAACGGCGTGGATGACCAAAAACTGATCTGGAATCGATGGCGCTGCCTGAACCAAATAATTGTTTTTCCTTTTGGGACACATACTTTTTCTTATTGAAACAAACGTTAGCAGTAATAATTTATTTACATTCATTGTAAATATTGAACAACTAATTACTCATCTATATTCTTTGTTGTTCTAAATTTCGGTCACCTCTATGCCACCATATACTTTTTGCTTATTTTTTTTTTTCTGAGAAATCATCATTTGAATCATTGTTTTAAAAATCTTACCTCTAACTTCTATCAGAATAGAACTACTTTGCATGTATTTCACTTTTTGTTTTTCGACCTGTTCTAGATTCTTATGTTGAGAACGTAAACCGCGCAAGGAAGGCAAGAAGAAGGATGTTGCAACAAAATAAAAGCCAATTATGTGGGTATCTTTAAATCTCAAGCACGGCACGCAGACATGCAATAATGGTCGATTAATTTGGTATCAACATTTGCACGACGTTACTAAATCGGCTTGTACAGCAGCGTTGTTACGTACTTCTTCCGGTAGCGATGCGTTGCGCTGAGAACCATCACTCCATCCTTGATCGACAATGCGTACAGATGGTTCAACATAACGTGATTCGGCTCCGGTAGTAATGTCGGTTCACACTGTAAAAAAAAATTTAATCACTGCGACCTCACAAGGTTATTGCTAAAAAAATACCGAAAGTGGCGTATCCTTGTTTAGAATGACCTGCAGTAGATGCGGAGGCAACACCGGTGGGCCCGATTCCTTGCCCCACGGTCTGGTGGTCGGAATATCCTGCCCGTATTCCTTCGCTTCATCCTTGCCAGTATCCTCGCTGTCTTTAGCCAGCGCTTGGAAGACTTCGAAATCCGACTGACGGACCGATACCAGATTATTCTTGGTTCCGACTTCGTTTTCCACATTTTTCTAAACACGAAATTTAAACATTAAAAAATCCTCAAATTGTTTCAACCGTACCGTACCAATCTCGGATCGTGCTTCCATTCCCCATCGACGCAAAACTTGTACTGATGGTCTCCTTCCGGCAAATCGATGATCGTCACAAAATCTCCATGGCTCTTAACCATCGGCAGTGCCTTCCACTCGGAAAAGGTTCCACTGATGTAAACCTGCTTGCCACCACCTTCCCACTTGAACACCGTCGGAAGCGCGGTCTTTTCATCTTCCTTATCATATTCATCCGGCTCAATCACCGGATGGCCACCCACACCCCCTCCTCCCACACCGATCGAAGAATCGTCGGATACGGTGTTCGAACGCTTCCTGAACTCCCGAACGAATTCCGGCTCCGGAACCGATTTTGAATAGTACGGTTCTGCGTCGTCCTCGCTCCGTTGGAACACCAGCCGATGGTTTGGGTCCGGTTTCTTGTCGAACACAAACGCCTGACCGTCCTTGAGCGGAGATCCCGGAATGTGATCGTGCGAACCCGATTTGTGGCGCTCCCGAGGGAGATTACTGCCCGCATTCCCCATTGCTTACCTGCTGTGTGCGGCGGCGAAAAACTATTAAAGGCAAACACTGAATTTTTAATGGGTGAAAATCTTTCCAAGGAAAAACACAAGCTTTTCTCCGTCGTTGTCTGCTGATGTTTTTCGCTCTAATACGTGATTTTTTTTCATTATTTTGATCTGACACTGATCAGAACAGAAGAAAGAAAATAAAAGCACGCAGCCAATTGTATACTTTTGACAGTTCAGAGCACACAGTGGAAATTTAATTAAAATATATGGCCAAAATTTATGATACGGTGTCCTGGGGCATTTCCTCCACAAAAAATATGTATATCGTGTGTCACTGCTTGAATATGGTGGAAGGAGGGAATTTGGAGGAACATCTCGTTGAGCTGGAGGAATTGTTTGATCGGTTGGTGTGCGCTGGCCAGAAAATGGAAACTCCTCTGAAAGTGGAATTGATTTATCGCAGCCTTCCAGAATCATACGATCATACGGCGGATTGGTGACGGCAATGGAAAGTCGTTCGGATGCGGATCCCAACAAACAATTTTTGCTGCAGACTAGCTTATACAGTTAAAAATTAGCTGTATAAGCCAATTTTTGGCTGTATAAGCTAATCTGCAGCTAAAATTGTTAGTTGGGATCAGACTATCGAGTTCGTGAAACAGAAGCTGATTGACGAGCATTTGCGACGAGTCGAACGTCTTGGATAACGTTCGTGTGAATTTTGTGAAAAAGTGATGTTGGTAATGGCACATTTTTTGATTTTCAATCTGTATTTTCATCGCAAAAAATCTTTTTAATCTGTATCTGGCTGACAAAAATCTGCATTTTGGCAACAAGCCTAAAAATTTAATGTTGCTAAAATTGAACGGTTTTATTTTTAAATTTAATTTATGATTTCGATGATTATGAACCACCGAGAGGTTTCATTGTTACATAGACGTTATTAATAATTATTTTTTTATTAAAAATTGTAGTCTAATGGAACAAAAGTACGTTATATTCAAAATCCGTTCGATTTTGGCATGCTGCTAAAATCGAACCGTGCCAAAATCGAACAAGTACAGTAATTTATTTATTAAGATCTCAGTGTGGATTTACCTTAATCTTCATTGAGTTCATTCATAGTTCAGAAGGAGTTTGTTCAATGTTTACAATCTTGAAAAATTACTTAAGTTTGCTTTCTGAAGAATTTGGTGTACTTTGCATTTTTCTATATTTATGTATTTTTAGTGTTGTGTATTTTTGTATTAAAGTGAATTAAATTCATTATTTAATGAATATTTTGTGCACAATGTACTTTTGATAAATTTTTGTTTTGTTTTGTTTTTTATTCATGGGATTTTAGTTTTAACGGGTACACATTTACGTATATTTATGTTTTTTTTTTGAGTATTTTTCGATGTGTGTTTTTAGAATTCAGCTGATTTATGAAGTTGATCACACTCGTTTTTTTAATCATGAAATCCTATAATCTTGATTTTTTTTTAAAGTGATCTATATACTTTCTTAAATTTAGAAAATACGAAACATTAAGTTCCAGTAGTAGTGAGAAACAAATCTGTTTCCAGCGGAAAATTTCCTGGGCTTACTAAAATGACTTGTTTACCGATTTGACATACAAATTTAGTTAATTAAATATTGTATCTGTCACCATGTTACATGGTTAAATAAACAAAAAGAAATGGAAACTTATATCCATTCCAACGAGAAATCAGAACAAGCGTAAAAAACGTTTTGAGTTTGAAGCTCACAGATTGAATTCAAGCTGCTCAAAAGTAAGAAACAATTATTTATCAGAATTTATAAATATAAAAAAATAATGTAAAACATATTCTCCTTATTTAAAAAAATCTGTATATTTTTCAAAAATATGTAATCTTTATATACAGAGATCTGTATCAAAATACTGAAAAAAATCTGTATGGTTACATATAAATCTGTATATGTGGTACCACCATAGAGGTAACTCTAAGACTAGAAGGTCCCGAAATAACGTGCTCAACTTTTTGGCACAGCTCTAGTACCCTAGTACTCTCTTCGGTCCCAAGCTAATCGATTCACCCCTCGAAACATAGGAAAAACCGACACATCTAAATCTCAAATCTAGATACTCAACAAATCTCCCACTAGCGAATCAATCTTCGAAAAATCTTCTTTCATTTGTCGCATCTACTTGCATCGCGCATCATCTTTTTGCAGGAAATCTTCAAAATCGTCGTCAATCTTCTTTCTATCTACTCAGTGTGCGCGCAGCTAGCCACAGCAAAACACAATCTTTCCTGCATCGTAGATAGAGTCGTCCCCCTCGGAAAAAACAAATAACCCCTCATTTTATCTGTCAAACTTTCAAAGCGAATCAAAACAAACATTGCGTAGTACTAGAATTTTGACTAGAATGGGGTACGTTAATCGTTTGCTTGGGACCAATAGGCTAGTCAATTAGTGAGCCAATTTAATTAAATGATTTTTTCGCTGTGGTAATCTGGTGGTGGTCGGTTTTCCCACAGATTTGCCGATTGAACAATGTAAGTCAAACGTAAGCTTAGAGTCCAACATTACACCTAGGTTGCTTACTTGTTCTACTCTTTCGAGTACAAATCCAAAATTTGAGTAATCGAATACGATTGGCGTCCTTATGCGATGAAGTTTCATGGCAACACATTTTGATATAATGAGGAAGAGCTTGTTTAAAAAGTAACCGGTCAACAAATTAGTCCAACATTTCTTAGAGCTGACAGCAACCTTCGGCATCCTTGAAAACGATGTATATTTTGAGATACGCCGCAAAAAACCTCGCACACAACCACTCTGCAGGATGAGCGTCACATCGTTGAAGAAGATTGTGAACAGCAATGGTCCTAAATTGCTGCCCTGGGGAACACCAGAGGTTGCAACAAAAGGTGACGAAGTGCACGAATCCAGCTTGACACGGAGAGATCTATTGGAAAAGTACAATCTCAGCCATTCAAACAAACCGTCCAAAACTCCCATACGAGACATTTTCCGAAAAAGAATACCATGATCAATACGCTCGAAGGCCGCTTTCTGGTCAGTATAAACGGTATCTACTTTAGCCCTATTTTCCAAGTGATTTATACAAGTTGAAGTAACCTCCAATAAATTTGATGAAACTGAACGCCCTGCCATAAATCCGTGTAGCATTGCTGAGATGCAGCTTTGGACATGAAAGAAGATAACATCGTTCACAATGATCTCGAATAATTTTGAAGCTGCAGAAAGACTTGTTATATCATGGTAGTTAGTCGCGTCACGTTTGTCGCCCTTCTTATGAGCAGGGACCATAAATGAATGTCTCCATATTTTGGTTCAACGAAACGGTAAAGATGCAAGCCAGAGGATCAGCTAAAGCAGCAACACAGAGGCAATAAAAAATAATTTCAGTTACACCATCAGGACCCGGTGAAACTGATTTCCTCAACTTTCTTTTTCTACTTCATCTTTATTGGTGATTGAAACCGAAAAAAAAAACAGAACGGGAAAAGAGATCACAAGATTCGAGCATAAATCGTCAAGGAACTCCCCTTATAAAACTTGTTTGGTTATTTTTCTTATGTTCGAGGTATCATCCAAACGATTTATGCAATGCACCCAGACAAAGTCTACTCATAACGCGAATGAAGTCACGGCTTACGTCCAAGCCTTTGAACCACGCTCTCGAAAAAAAAAAACATTTGGAATAATTGATTGCCACCGTCCAAGATTTCCAGTGTCTCAATCGGTTTGCCAACTTCAAAGGATACCGTGACGCACTAAATGGTAAAATTCACCGTGTGAAATTTGCCTGTCATACAATTTGCCTGTGCGCCTACCTTTATGAGAGAGTCCGTCTTTTAATTGCCTGTAATTTGCTGAGATGATAACAACCTTTACGCTCAAAGCAAGGCTACGCAATTTTTGTTAATCCACTAATTAGCTTCTATTCGGTTTCAATTATAAGTCTTGCATCTGAACCTTATGTTAATAATTATGTTAATGTAAAATCTAAATAATCTCCATCTATCTATATTTTAATTCAATAAACCCTAAAAGGAAGAGCAGACAATTGACAAATCCAAGTTTCAATCGGCCATCGGGGCGCTGCAATCGCGGTGATAAGTCCAAAATAATGTGTCAAACTGAATACATTTTTGAAATTTGAACCAAAAAACTATTATTTTGTATTTATTCTAGCGAGTTTCTGTGGGAGTCAAAACATGATCCGAACAAAAAAGTAGTACTCGTAATAATGGTATATAATTCTGAATTTTATCGTGCTTTGTTTCGAAAATATCTTCCAAATAAACAAACATCATCCAGATCACCCGATTCGTCCACCGACTAAATCTATTGCCACTTAAAAATTAATTTCAGTCGGTGTATTAATCAGCAGATTAAATCGTTTTTCGTCTGGTGCTACACCGAGCAATCGGTCTATTTAATAGTTTTTCGTCGATGGATTTAGTCGGCCAACTTTGTCTGCTGTTTAATCGGCAGATGATTTCAAACCTTAACATGTTTTCTGTAATTTAACTGTCTTGAAGTAGCTTTTTATTTAGGAACAATGCGTTACAAAATAATTTTATGCATTTTGTACAAGGTTCATCCATGCTGACAAGAAATTTGCATGAAATTACATTGAAATTAAACAATTTTGCAAACAATCAATGAAATTGTCAAGGGCTGTCACAGACTTCCCAAGTAACAATTTCCAGTTGAAGAAACGCTTTCGTTTTGATTTTGTTCAGCTGCAAGTTGAATAATAATTGCACAATGTGTTAACCACAACTTTTATAAAACCCTTGTTTACACTGGTTTGGAGAACCTATACAACTGCAACACAAAGGTGTTGTCTAACGTATTCAGTAAAACGTTTATCCAAAATCAATTTCTTGTTGAAGAAACGCTTCCATTGTGATTTTATTCAACTGCATGCTGAATAATAACTGTACAATTTGTTTATTACAACTTCTGTAAAACTCTTGTTTACACTGGTTTGGAGAACCTGTTCAACTACAGCATTATATGTATACGCGGTATAGGAGTAGAAGCAACTTTTATACAACGTTTATAGATACATATTAAACTCAAGCTTTATTATTTTGGTGAAAGCTCTTATACAACGTTTGTAGACACTTCTTGACAGCT